TATAGTTGTGTATATCATGTCAAAATGCACCCTGCAACTATTCTTCGGATAATTTAAGTTTTAGTATTTTTAACACAAGTTATGATAATTCAATTAGGACAAACAAAAGTTTATAACAATATTAAAACGACATAAAACGTGAGTTTAGAATGTAACTAGACAATTAATCGATTATTAAGAAATGATAATTAAGTGAATGAAGGCATCAGTCAAGCTTTATTTCTTTTGATATTTCGTGTTTATGGTTTGAACCTAAAAGGCTACAACTTTCGACCGAGATCAAAAGAAAACATCTAAAGTTGTTTATTATGTTAGTAAAGTTGTTTTTTTTTCTTTTTGGTCCAAAGTATTCATTGAAACATTTCCCTACGCAATTTATTTAAGGTAAAAGTTTATTAAGAAATGATACTTAAGTGAATGAAGGCATCAATCAAGCTTTATTTCTTTTGATTTTTCGTGTTTATGGTTTGAACCTAAAAGGCTACAACTTTCGATCGAGATCAAAAGAAAACATCTAAAGTTGTTTATTATGCTAGTAAAGTTGGTTTTTTTTTTCGTTTTGGCCCAAAGTATTCATAGAAACATTTCCCTACGTAATTTATTTAGGGTAAAAGTTTATTTAGAAATGATACTTAAGTGAATGAAGGCATCAATCAAGCTTTATTTCTTTTGATTTTTCGTGTTTATGATTTGTACCTAAAAGGCTACAACTTTCGATCGAGATCAAAAGAAAACATCTAAAGTTGTTTATTATGTTAGTAGGGGTTGTCTAGGGTCCGAGAGGGTTGTACTTCTCGGACCATAACCAACCAATAAAATTGCGCCATGTAAAAATAGTACGTACCTAGTAAAAAAAAGTACGATACCTAAATTATATGTATAATTACATAAAAACCCTTAAAAATAAATCTTAATTTGAATTAATAATTAATAACTAAAACTTGATTACAAATAAATAATTATCATAAATTAGTAACCTAAAATAGTAAAAGAGGAATTTTGCGTTCATCCCTGTAAAAAATTCTCCCTCTCTCACCGTTGTTCTTCCGGCCGTCGATTTAGGTTTTGTCAACATCTATTCTTCGGGCAATTTTGTAGCCATTTGTAAATTATATCTCATAATGGTACCCTTTCCTCGGATCTTCATTTGTATTCTGCATAAAGCCCCTTTTCTTTCTTTTCGTTTTTGCAGTATCAAGTTTTCTTTTTTTTCTTTTTTGATATTGGTTAAATGTTTTCAATGGGCATTCAAGGTAGCCTGCAGTTTATAAGGTGTACCCAAATTGCGGAGAAATCGTGTGACCAATTTGACATGGCTTTTGAAGTGAGTTATAGAATATCTTCTTTGGAGTTTTGATTTACGCATATTCAAATATAAACATTTTCTGAATTATATGACCACTTTGGCCAAGCAATATTTCTAGATGTTCGATAAAATGTCTATTTGAGATTTCTTCTGTTAAGTTTTGTATTATGTGTTCCTCTTTTATGTTCTGAACACTGTACTTTGCAATATTGGTTTGAAATTGCTGCATTTTTACAACTTGTGAGTATTTAAGCATGTCTATTGAATGTACAATAAATGTGTTTGTTGTATATCAATTATACAGGAGTGAGTATTTTTTTTTTTTTTTTCCGTTTGCCATGTCACATGAAAGTTCGTTCTTGTAGGTTGGAAATTCACCCACCATCATTTTATGGGCAAAACTCTTAAAAGTAAGGAAGCAATGGTCGTAAAACAAGATTCATGGCCTGGAAATAGAAGCGTTGTGTACGGCCTGGGTGAGCCCATCAATAGTCCAGAGGTTCTCTAAAGATTATTTTTGTTAAAGTCTTCAGGAATATGCTTCTGCTATTTTAGAAGCAGTTTGATTCGTATAAGATACATGTAAAATCTTGTTGCATGTACGAAATGATCAGTTACTGATTTCAAAATCAATTACAACTTCTGCAAATGTTAAAAATGCACTCAATCTCTCTCACTCTCACACATTTGTTTAATCACCTTGGAGCCCCACACAGATTAGTAGTCTTGAAAATTAGGTTGTCCATAATAAACACAGACAGAGTGAGATAATCGATTTCGATCCGCAGTTTCACCCGTGCGGTGCCCTGTGGGGCCACTGGAATTCTCCAATTCCGCTCCGTTATTTTACTACTGTTGTTCGTGTCCATAGGAACCCTCGAACCGTGAAACAATCGAATCTGCATATTCAACTGACTATCGAAGCAAGTGGTCAGAAACCGCTGTCTTTGCCGGAATCACCGTCTTCTCCGGGATCAAAACCTCCACCGACCCTCCTCCTCCGGTCTTGATTCCGATGTTCGCATGCATGAAATCAAGAAGCCTTATTTTCGCAACCCTATTGAGTTGAGTGTCTTTGCAGAGGTGGGCCCCGAACGAGATCGCCTTAACAGGGTCGATGTTTTTGCGGATATTCGTTCCACCGACTAAATCCGCCAATAGTTTCTGCAGCTTCGGTATTTTCAAGGTTCCTCCGACAAGAACTATTTCGGCAAGACGTCGTACGCCGGAAATATGGGCGCGTTCCGAACACTTTTTGACTACGTCCTGACTTTTTAGGAGCAAATCCATAGTGAGGGACTCGAATACCCCTCGTGATCGAACCGTAGAAATCGATCCCTTCGTACAGTGAATTAATCTCGATTGTCGTCTTAGTTTTCGAGGACAGAGCCCTCTTCACCCTCTCGCAGGCCTCCCTCAGCCGCCGGAGAGACGCGGCGGCGGTGCTTAGGTCTTTGTTGTGCTTCCGGCTGAACTCCGCCGCGAAGTGATTCAAGAGACGATTGGTGAATTCATCTCCGGCCAATTGGGTTTCTCTGGCGGCGGATCTCATACTGAAAACACCACCTTCTTCTACAGTCAACACGGCCACGCTCAAATCATCGCCGCCGTGATTGTAAACCATGACGTTTCTTTCTTCATCTTCTGAAGGCTTCTTATCCAGAGCATAAGCGATCGAAGCACATACGGGATTATTTATGATGTGCAGATCAACACCGTCTCCTGCCGCCGCCGTAGGAGACGGTGCATACATGTTATATGCAGAGAAAGTGGCTGTTCATTTTTTTCCCTCTATCGATATTTACTCCCAGCACTTCTGTTTGGTTTTTAAAAGACGGATCTTACAATTTGCATTTTTTGCAAGTTTGACAAATTGTTAATCACTATCAAGCTCTTAACGTTAAGTGGCTTGGCATTAAGAAGAAATAGAAGAGTCTATAATAGGGAAACCCCTATACGAAAATATAAAAGAGGTAACAAATTAACATGAATAAAATCATTCCATCCCAAAGAAACCAAAATTTCTGGAACACTAATGAAAAAAGTGGCATTAAGGCTATCAGATTCCAAAATGACTTCATCCATTTTAGCTTCCAAAGATCTCAGCAACTAACGATTGGTGCAGTGATGCTCTTGTGCATGGGCGCAGACAATGGAACCTTTATAGTTGCGAATTAAGAAAGCTCAATCGGCCATTTTTTGCAAGGGAGTTTTCCATTTTATAGGTGACCTGCAAGAATGGAGAAATAGAACCATGAGTGCCACAGTTACGTTTAGACCAAAAAGAACCACTTTCTCTACGAAATTTCTGAAAATATTTGGTGTTCAGTTATATATTCTTATCTAAATATATACAATTGTGCAACCTCGGTTCTTCCGAGTTATAGGCTTGCTAAATTCATACTATTAGAACAAGGAAAAACTAAATTCATACTATTAGAACTGACAAAATAAAATCTACAATCAACCGTATGATCATACTCAAACCTTATGCCGGTGTCGTTCCTCCTTTCTCTAGCCCTCTCAAACTTCTGTTCTATTATATCGCACAAAGTATTTCACTACTTGCACCAGCCTTGAGAGAGGTTCTCATGAGAAGTGTGTTCTGCCAAGGGGAGCTCTAAGGGCAAACTGGTCAAAAGTCAGACATTATCCACCAACCTTCTCGATCCTAGTCCTTTCTGTTTCAGCAAACCTCGGAGCACTTTGAATCCTAAGTGCATTACAGAAACATAATCGAATTTTACTAGTCGATGTTCAGACTATTTTCAGAACAACGTTTTAAAAAGTTTTCACCTTAAACTTTAAAAAAATATAATATTTGGCTTCAAAATTGGCATCTGTTTGATTCAATTACATTTTCTTGTTAAATAATGATTTTTTAACAAACAAAATATTCCCACACATTTCTGTTTCGATAATCACCAAAAAATACCATACCTTACCCCTTAGCATTTCCAGTCTTTCCTAGCCTGCATATTTTGTTGAGTTACTCAACAAAATGAAGTTCAGAAACTCAAGGATCAAATGATATTTCTAAACATAATATATTTACAACGCAAATAACAAACCAGAGATAAAATCAAAATATTGGTCCGACATCATATACAAAACACTTAATTTAAAAAAAAAAATCTAAATTCGAAAGAAAATGGGGGGATGCAGTAGTACAGGGTGGAAGTAAGACACTTGAATCGGTGCCAATATGGAATTAAATCGAAGTAAGACACTTGAATCGGTGCCAATATGGAATTAAATCGAACAGGTCCTTATGATTTGGGGTGGACGAACTTGATAAGAATTGCGTACGGTGAATTAGGGTTCATGAGGATTTTGATTTTTTGGGGAAATGTTTAAGAACCCAAGAAGTTCTATTTTCGTTGACGATGCAATTTGATGTAATTTGAATGTGATTATGTTGTGTTTGATTACACACTTTTATACTTTAAATCATTGTTTTGGATATATGATGTTAATTAATTATGATTACAATAATATTTTTAATAGATATTTTAATTTATTAATTTTAGTTTATAAGGCTAATTAAGTAATTTATAAATAGTACGATGTTTGTACGATGGTGTACGATGTGTTTTTGCTGGGTTCGTACATTAATTTTCGAATTATTGGTATTGTACTAGATCGTACTAGGTCGTACAAATTAATGAATGGCTAAGATTAAAATTTAACCATTTTGTACGCATCAGATTAAATATCTTACTGTCCGAGAAGTACAACCCTCTCGGACCCTAGACAACCCCATGTTAGTAAAGTTGTTTTTTTTTCTTTTTGGTCCAAAGTATTTATTGAAACATTTCCCTACGCAATTTATTTACGGTAAAAGTTTATTAAGAAATAATACTTAAGTGAATGAAGGCATCAATAAAGCTTTATTTCTTTTGATTTTTCGTGTTTATGGTTTGTACTTTGTACTTAAAAGGCTACAACTTTCGATCGAGATCAAAAGAAAACATCTAAAGTGTTTATTATGTTAGTAAAGTTGTTTTTTTCTTCTTTTTGGTCCAAAGTATTCATTGAATCATTTCCCTATCTAATTTATTTAGGGTAAAGGTTTATTTGGCCTATCTGAACTATACCAACATATAAAATACTCCCTCAAATTTTAAAATGAACCAAAAATAATCACTATTTTTTTATGATCAACGTTAAAAAAAATTAACACCGTTAATTTGGAACAATGGTTCTTGAATCGGGAAGCAATTGTTTGTGCAAAGGGATAAGGGTAAAAATGCCAAAACAATAGCTAGAATCATAAAAGTGAATATAAATGCAAAAGTCAACGTGCCACGTCAACAAGAGCAAACAAAATCAAACGAAACGACTGTTTTAGTATTTTGTTTCATTTTGAAGTCCATGGACATATTTTGTACGTTGCGCATAGTTCAGATAGGCAAAGTGAAAAAAAAAAAAAAAAATTGTAAAGAAAGCAGCAAGCATAATACATCTCACAAACACTTCTTGGAAAATTCATGTCCGAAAATGATTATTTTTGCCATTTCAAGGCCGATAT